TTCACAGACCAGCCAGTGGAGGCTCTGGGAAGGTCACGCAGTCATTCAGTTGCTGGGTTTGCTTCTGGAATGAGAAGGGGGTAGGGAGGGGGACAGGCCTGGTGGGGAGGGGTCTGGACCCGGGACTGCCAAAGGAGAGGCCTGGAGGGAGAGGCCAGCAGTGGGGGAGGGGTGGGGCTGGTGACAGGAAAGAGGAAGGAGTGGCAGAGGGGCGGGAGTGGGTGGCTGGCTGGGCCAGGCCCTGTCTTCAGCTCCTGTGGGCCTCAAAGTGCCCAAGACTTGGAGGGGGGAGGGGAGGGGGCCCTGGGTTTCAGGCTTTCCCTCCCCCAGCCCGACAGTGCCCAGTACAGCCCCTCCCAACCCCCCCACTCTCTCTGCCCCATCCTCCTCCTCCTCCCTTCTCGGGCTCAGCCTCCCCTCCCCCTGGACTCCTGCCCCTCCTCCCATGGCTCCCCAGCACCCGGGACTAAGTCCCAGCCCCCCGGCCTGGCCTTTGACTGAGGCCACCAGCACCACCTGGCACAGCTCCCGCCTTGAGCTCCGTCCTCTGGGCCCCCTGGCGCCCCTCTGCCACAGCCAGCCTCCCCGGAGGCTCTTTGTGTCCATCTCTGTGGCCAGCTTGAGGTCTCCCTGAGATCGGGGCCTGGGCCTGACTCCTCTGCGGTCCCCAGCACCCCCACCACGTGGGGAGGCACACGAGAGGCCCCTATTTTCAAACGGGTGAGGCACTGCCATTCAGCGAACCCAGGTCTCGGGCGGTGCGCGACAGCGCACACGGCAGAGCATCGCGCGCGTCCCAGACGCAAAACAGACAAAACCCCACACCGGCGTGGACGGACGCAGGGCTAAGGCCGACACATTCCCTCCTCTTCATTTGATGCTACTCGATCAAGAATGGGGACCCGGAAACCCACACCACATCTTGCGGTGCGGTGGGGGGAGGCCCCCGGCCCTGGACTCCCACAGTGCTGAGTTGGAATCTCCACCTTCGTGATGTCCTTCCTGGGACCTCAGACAGCTGAGTGTCTCCCCCAGCAGCCGCTGGGAGCGCAGCAGGCGCGGAGGTGCTCAGGCAACAGCAACAGAACCTACAACTTTGCAGCCACACGGGAGGGTTTCAGGCGGGCTGGGAAGGTGTCAGGGGGTGAGGAGTCTCATGACAGTTATTTTCCGACACTTGATGACAGTCTGTCTGTCTCCTACGGCTGGGAACATCTCAACATCTCAAACCAGGCCACGCTGGGGGCGCCGCCTCCCCTCCCTTACTGCCTGAGAGAAACGGAGGTAGTGATTAAGAGCAAGTAATTACCTCTCTCCTGCCGGGGAGGTGAATGTCTTTCTGTGGGATCTTCCCTTCAGAACTGTCTTCCCCGGGCGGGGAGCTCTGGGAGGGCAAAGGCTGCATTCTTCCCAGGCACGTTGGAATCCCCGATGGCAGAGATTCGCACCTACTATGACCACAGGCAGCACTTGTAGGGACAGGGTATGGCAGGGAGGTGGGGGTTATAGGCTCTGAAAGATAATGTTGGCCCCTCCCCTCGGAATGTCAGCCCTTCAATGGTGGGACTCGACTGTCTCCAGCACCCAATGCCATTCACCTGCCAGGTGCTGGATAAACGTCACTGAACGGATTAATGAGACAGACGGGTCAAGTCCTGACTCTACCACTTACTTGCTGTGTGACCTTTGGTAAGTGACTTTGCTTCTCTGAGCCTCGAGTGTCCCCCTCTTTTCAATGGGCATAATCCCAGTACCGCCCTCATAGGGTCGAGATGCTGATTTTGGGAGTTCACACGTTTACGAAGCCCTGGACAGGACCCGGAACTTAGGACACGATCGATGTCTGTGAGCTGTCATTCCTTGATGAATGAATGAAGAGGGAACCGCCCTCTTCGGTTCTCTTAGCAATTCTATCAGACGAGGACTTTTAGTCCCCATTTGGCAAAGTAGAAACCCAAGGCTTAAACCATCCTCCACAACTCTCTCTCTCACCGAGGCGTCCCAAGAAAATGCGAGATGCTCTCAGTGGGCCACGCCAAGAAGCTGCGCGTTCTCCAAACCCACGTTCACCCCCCAGCCTGGCTTTCCCCAGCAAACCAGGGTCTCCCCCTGGAGAATCCTGCAGCCGGCTCTAAAACCGCAGAGTCTCCTGTACAGAAGCGTAGCCGCATTCATTAGAAAATCAATGCAAATTAGAAACCTCCCCGGGATCCCACTTCTCTCCTCCGAGAAGGCAAAGATCAAAGAGGTTGACATTGCGGTTGCCGGTTGCGTTGGCGAAGCCACCGCGGGAAACAGCGCAGTGTGGTGGTGTCTGGCAACATCGAACACGCCCTCCGACCCGGCAGTCCCTCCAGGAGGAATTTGTTCTAGCAGTGGGTAATGCTGATCGCAGCACACACACCGCTGCTCCTCGGCGCCAGGCACCGACCGGGCTGGGCGCCTTTGCCACATCGGTGCAAGTGGTCTCAGCAACCCTTCCGTTGTACATGGGTGGAAACTGAGGCACGGAAAGTGGAAGCGACTTGTGTCCCTTAGCTATGAGCAGCATGGCACTATTCTGTCTTCTTGGAGTATTCACGAAAGTACACAAACACAAATGTAAAAGAATATTATTGTCAGGTGTGTGTGTGAAAGAGAGAGAGAGAGAGAGAGAGAGAGAGATGCATGGAAAACAGTAACTTTTTTTCCCCTGAAAAACCAGCTTCTTATCATTGTCCACAATCTTTTCTTTTAAATTAATTTCCTGGCTGGACACGGTGGCTCATACCTGTAAACCCAGCTGGCACTTTGGGAGGCAGAGGCAGGAGGATCGCTTGAGCCCAGGAGTTCAAGGTTACAGCCAGCTATGATCCAGTCCCTGCACTCCAGCTTGGGTGACAGAGGAATACCCTGTCTCTTAAAAATTTTTTTAAATATAAATAGATAAGTTTCTCATCATTCTCTCTTTGTAAAAAATTTCCTCATTAATCTCTAGCAATGCTTTCTTTCAACTTTTACTGCACTTGTTTTATTATTCTTTTTCTAACTTCTTGAATCGTTTGCTTTGCTCTGCTCATTTCCTCTTGGACTTTATTTTTCCAAATTAAAATTTAAAGCTCTAGACATCCTTCTGAGTACAACTTTGGCTCCACCTCCCAAGTTTTGATGTGTATGTGTGCTTCTTAAAAAAGTAGAACTTCGGTTTTAATTATCAGTTGAGCCCAGGCCTCTAACTCCTGGACTCAAGTGATCCTCCTGCCTTGGCCTCCTAAGTAGCTGGGGCTACAAGTGTGTGTCACCATGCCAGGCTAATTTTTCTTTATTTTTGTAGAGACGAGGTCTTGCTGTGTTGCATAGGTTGGTGTCAAACTCCCTGCCTCAAGCAATCCTCCCACCTCAGCCTTTGGAGTCGCTGGGATTACAGGTGTGACCCACTGCACCCAGCAGAACTCTATGTATTTCTGCGTAATCATCCCCAAGACGTACTCTTGGTAAAATGCACACAATGTAAGATAATGCGTGTGGCATGTTTTATTTGTGTTCAAAATGCTTATGCATGGGTGGGATACCTGGAAGGATACACAAAAAACTGATAATAGTCTCTAGTGAGAAAAAGTAGGAATGGGGGATTTGGAATGAGAGGAAGAATTACTTTCTTTTTACCATGTGTCTACTACAACTTAAAGTTTTGTTTTGCTTTTTAATAAACCATGTTTCCCAGTTTTGTTTTGTTTTTGTTTTTGAGGTAGGTCCATCCTTCCTGTCACCCAGTCACTGTGTGATTTACTCGTCTCCCCACTCCTGACTACGGTGGCATTGGGGGAAATGAGTCTCTGAGGGGTGGGGCTCGCAGGGCAAGTCAGAGCTGGGCCAGAGCTGCTGATTCGCATCATGAGCAAGTAGTGTGATAACTTGTGGTTTGGATGGCAGATTTCTTTTTGCTTCTACTTAGAACCAGGGATCAGGGACCACTAGGATTTCTATCCCTGGAAAGGAGTATTTATTGCATGCATCAGTAGGGGCTGCTTTGGGTTTCAAGTAACAGAACACCGGACTCCAACTGGCTTCAACAATAAGGACATTTATTAAATCGCTTCACAAAAAATTCCAGGGGTTGGCAGCATTAATAGTTAAGGTATAGATTCAACTGCTGCAGCACAGACATAAAATAACAGTGGCTTCAGTGAGCTAGAATTTGAAATCTCTCTTTTTGCAGCCTGGGTGTAAGCATCCCAGGGCTGGCATGGGGACACCTTGGGGACACAGTAGCTTTCCACCATGGCTGCTGTGGCAGATTACAAAAACGGCTCTGGTACTGCACACCCTCCTGGGTGTGTGCCCCTTTGCAATGTCACTTTGCAGGTTCTCCCATCTTTGCCACGTGACAAAGCCAGCCTGCTGGATGAGAGCTGCATGGCTTCGCCAGTCCCACCCTCCCAGCTGAAAGCCAGCCCCTCCTCCCGGAAGCAGAGCCACTTAGCTGACACACAGATGCAAGACAAGAGAACTGCTCAGTTGTGCCCAGACCAAACTGCTGACACACAGAAATCATGAAAGGTTATGGTTTTAAGCCCCTAAATATTGGGAGTGTTTGTTACACAGCAAAAGCAAACAGAGACATCCACATTCTAGACAAGAGAAAGAGGGGTTGGAGGGCAGGACCCTTCCACATAAGGGCACTTCAAGGAAGTAACAGTGATTATTTCCACTCCCATCCTATTGGCCAGAAAGCAGTCACAAGGCAATATCCACTTGCAAACAAAGGATACTGGGAAATGTAGTCTTTCCTTGGTTAACCATGTGCCCAGTTTAAAACAAGTAGGAGTCTTACTATAAAGCAGGGAGAAAGTGGACGCTGGGAAATAAATAGATGTCTCTCCCACAGAGCTTTAGAGGAGAGGTTGCTGGGAAGACTTCCCGCAGGAAGAGGCAGGATGTGGCAGGGTCTTGGAAGCCAGGCTGGGCAAGGAGCCGCACGCTAGGAAGGAGGACATCCAGCCTCCACCTGAGGGTGTCCATCACCCCCTGGGGGCTTCACTTGGTGGGCAGGATGACTGAGAAACACCCTCCTCACCAAACGCCCTGGCCAGGGCAGAGGGCAACGACTGGAAAAACTTTTCCTGTAAATCTCTGCCAATGAAGACATAGAGAAAAGGGCTTGAGAGAGCTGTGGAAGCAGCCCAGGGAGAAGGTGGCCCAGAGGAGGAGCAGCATCCTGGGGTAGGGGGGCTCCGTCGGATCCATCAGCCGCCCCATTTGGACCAACAGCATCACGTTAAAGGGGAACGAGGAGGTGAAGAAGGCGCTCACCAACACCAGCGGCGACCTCTTCGGCCGGCGGGCGTGGCGCGGATGAGGCAGGCGCAGGCGCAGGCGCCGGTGGTCACCAGCGGCACCAGCAGGAAGTAAGTGACGATCACCGCCACCTGTCTCCCCAGAAGCCCTGCACTCCGGTTCTGGGCGCTCTCACTCCCTAGGCGAACTCGCAGTAGCAGTGCTCACACCTTTCCAGGGCCTCCGGTGCGGAATATCAGGTGTGGCGAGCACGTGGCTGCAGCCGGGAGCCACACCCCGCCGGCCAGCCAGACGGCCCGCGGCGCCAGTGCGGTGGTTCCGGGCCCACTCCGGGTAGAGGACGGAGGTGCAGCGGTCCACAGAGATGAGGCCCAGCAGCCAGATGCTGGTTACGAAGGTAAGCACCAGAAAGGCCAGGTAGCATTTGCAGGCCAGCGTGCCCAGGAGCCACTTGCCGGAGGCCACGTGGTTTATGGCGATGGGCAGGGACAGCAAGAGAGTGAAATCGGCTGGGGCCAGGTTGAAGAAGCAGACGACGGGGACGGCGCGGGCCATGCGGAAGAGTGTCATCGAGAGCACCAGCCCGTTGCCCAGCACGCCCACGACAAAGGACACAGCCAGGACGGCTGCCGTCAGCTGGCGGTCGCACCCCACGGTCTCGGGTTGGCATTCGGAGGTATCCATCTTTCTAGAACAGGAATGACCCCAGGTCAGAGCCCCGGGCTGCGTTTCTCATTCAGTAACCTCTTACCGAGTACTCACCAGGACACAGGATGCTGTTCTAGGTAGCGCGGATAAGCCACGTCCCAAAACAAGCCCTCATGCAGCTTCCATCCTGGTGATGATGTCAGTTGTGACACGTATAATAAATCCGTGATACACCAGTCCAGAAGATTCCGAGTGTTATGGAAAAAATAAAAGTAAAAAGGAAGGACGTCTGACTTTCGGTAGTGTCACACACAAAAAAATTATAAAATCTGGATAAAATATTAAAAATCAACCCATTATTTGTTGGAAAAATAGTCAATCAAGAAAAAATGGACAGGAAAAATATGTATCAATCCAGAGTTTTTATAACCTGTGAAAATATCCTTCAAAAATGAAGGAAAAATAAGGACATTTTCAGATAAACCAGATCTGAGATAACTTCCACACCGCAGACCATAAGAAATGCTAAAGGGAGTTCTTCAGGCTGAAAGGAAACGGTACCAAATAGTAACGCATACCTACAGGAAGGAATGCAGATCGTGAAATGTTTTCTTTAAAAAATCAAAGTAAGGAGAATTGGGAATGAGTTTTAAAAGAAAAGAGCAGAGGGGAAAAGGGTGTTCCACGCAGAGGAAGTAGCACATACAAAGGCCCCTGGGTGAGAGGGAACAAGGTGAGACAGAAAGGGCCGCTTGTAGCATGAAATGGGGTGATCAGGGAAGACCTCATTAAAAATGCAACATTTGAGCAAATAGTTGGAGGAGGTGACGAAGTGAGGTGTGTGCATACTGGAGGAAGAGCATTGCAGGAAGAAGTAGCAGCTTGTGCAAAGGTCCTGAGGTAGGCCGTGCCTAGAATGTTCAAGGAACAGTGAGGAGGCCCGTGTGGCTGGAGCCGAGTGAGCTATGGGGATGGGCGGGAGGTGGGGGCAGAGAGGGAAGAGGGGCAGATTGTTCAGGACCTTGTGGGTCACGGTGAGGACTCTCCCAGCTTTCACTCTGAGTGAGATGGGAGCCACAGGAGACCGTTGAGCAGAGAAGGGACAATATCTGACTTAAGTTTTAACAGACACCGTGGCTTCAAGGCTGAGACTAGACCGAGGTGGGTGTGAGGGAAGCGACCGCCGCAGTAATCCAGGCGGCAGTGATGGGGCTGGGGCCTGGGTGATGTCAGAGGAGGGGACGAGAAGCAGATTCCAGGTTCAAAGTGGAGCTGACCAGATTTGCTGCTGGGCCGGGTGTGCGAGGTGAGAGGGAGAGCAGAGTGGGGGTGGGGGGAACTGGGGGGCACTTAGGAGCACCAGGAAGTCCGAGCTGCTGTCAACTGCGATGGCAGTTGGATATTGGCTGCCAGATTACAGGAGAGTTTCCGGCTGGACACGAACAGGTGGGAGTCATCAGCATTCGGATGCTCTTTACAGCCGTTGAGCCTGGGAATGCTCGCGGAGGGTGAGTGTAGACAGAGAAGAGATGTCTGGGGTTGGAGAAAGGCTCAGGCACAGGCTGCAGTGCTAGTTGAGACTGGATGACTGTGTGATCTTGGGCAAAAAGCTTTCCCTCTCTGAGCCTCAGTGCCCTCACCCGAGACAGGGGTATAGAATCCTTGAACGTCCCTCTCTTCTCCTCCCCACCCCCCACATTCCAATTCATCACAAAGCCCTGTTGATTTTTTTTTTTTTTTTTGAGACAGAGTCTCACTCTGTTGCCCTGGCTAGAGTGAGTGCATGGCATCAGCCTAGCTCACAGCAACCTCAAACTCCTGGGCTCAAGCGATCCTCCTGCCTCAGCCTCCCAAGTAGCTGGGACTACAGGCATGTGCCACCATGCCCGGCTAATTTTGTCTATATATTTTTAGTTGTCCAGATAATTTCTTTCTATTTTTTTTTTTTTATAGTAGAGACGGGGTCTCGCTCTTGCTCAGGCTGGTCTTGAACTCCTGAGCTCAAACAATCCGCCCGCCTCAGCCTCCCAGAGAGCTAGGATTACAGGCGTGAGCCACCGCGCCCGGCCAGCCCTGTTGATTTTGCCTCTGAAAAGTCCCTTGCCTCCGTCCTCTGTCCACATCATCCTGCCCCCACACCCACAGCCCTGTCATCCAAGCAGAAAAAAAAATCTGGGAATTTTTTTTTAAGAGACAGGGTCTCACTCTGTCGCCCAGGCTGGAGTGCAGTGGTGCAATCACAGCTCACTGCAGCCTTGAACTCCTGGGCTCAAGTGATCCTCCTGCCTCAGCCTCCTGAATAGCTGGGACTACAGGCACGCGCCACCGCGCCCGGCTATCCCAGCTGTACACTTGTCCCCTGCAAGCCCTTTACCGCCCCACGGCCAGAGTGATCCCTCAAAAGTTCAAATTAGAAAACTATCTTGTGGCTCCTCATTGCTTGTGGGATAAATGCACGTCTCCTTGACACAGCTGGCGATGGGTGCTCACGGAGGGGAGCAGCGGGGACCCTGCCAACATCTCCAGACTCCTCTGGCGCCTCATTCCCCTTTGCTCACCACAGCCCAGCTCCTCTGTCCTTGTCTCTGTCGCTGAGACTCACCTTGTTCCCTCTCACCCCAGGGCCTTTGTACGTGCTGCTCCCTCTGCCTGGAACACCCCTTTCCCCTCTGCTCTTTTCTTTTAAAACTCGTTCTCGAGATCTCAGTGCAAATTTCCCTTTCTCCCCAAAGCTTCCCCTGACTGTCTTGCCTACAGCGGACTCTCCCATAGCAGCGTCTCTCCTACGCAAGGATTGCTGCAGGCAGCACTTAGACCCTGTTTGTTAGACTATTTGATTCCCATCCATCAACCCCTAGTACACAGTAGGCACTCACTAAATACTTGACACGTGATTGATTAAGGAGGATAATCTCTCCTTTGTCACCTGGAGGATGGATTCATCCATTTAGTCTCAAAATATGCACTGAGCTCATACTGTATGCCAGTCACTACCCTAAGCACTAGGGATACCCCAGTGACGAGGACAGCCAAATGCCTCTGCCCTGTTGCAGCTGACGCACGTGGTATGAGAAAGTTCTTCACCCGAAGGAGGTGGCCCAGAACTTTTAGCTTCTTTGGCCACCTCCTTTGTAAACCCTGGCCACACCTCAACTCTCCTTGTTCCTAAGTCCACCCTCAGACCCCCCTGAGACGCCTCCCAGCAAATCCCAGTCCCCTGTCGCCATGTGCTGGGTCCAAGGGCAAGGTTCAGACGAGGGGGCCCGGCCCCCATGGCCGGCCCCAAGAACCGCCAACCAAGGTGGCGGGGGGTGGCAAATGGCAGGACGGTGGCCTGTGAGTTTAGGCGCAGATAAGGGTCCAGGAAAAGTCTTGAGCAAGAGACATGGTGGCCCCAGAGATCACTATCAGAGCCCGTGAAGTGTCACCAGGTGTGGGTCCTGAAAGGCCATGGGCGCTGGGAGCTTGGGGACTAGAGAGGAAGGGGTTCCAGAGAGATTGTTTTTCGAGGCCATTCCAGTTTTCCTCCTCTGTCCTTCCTTGTTCAATGAAATTAGTCAAGATATGCAAAGCACTTAAAACAGTGCCTGCACACAGTAGGTGCTCAAACACGGTCAGCTCTCATTATTGATGTTACTCCAGTCGTGCCTTGCTTGACAGTGGGGATACGGTCTGTAGGTGATTTCATCATCGTGTGACCATCACGGCGCGTACTCACACAAACCCAGGCGGTCCGCCCTGCTACACGCCCGGGCTGCAAACCTGCACAGCACTGAATGCCGCAGGCAGTCGCCATACAGCGGCGGGCAGTTGTCTATCTGAACATATCTAAACATAGAAAAGGTACAGTGAAAGTATGATATAGGGCTGGGCGTGGTGGCTCATGCCCATAATCCCAGCTACCTGGGAAGCTGCAGGGGGAGGATTGCTTGAGGCCAGGAGTTCTAGACCAGCCAGGGCAACATAGCAAGACCTCATTGCTTAAAAACAAAACTTAGAGACACCTCAGAGAGCTAAAAATATAAATACCATTCGATCCAGCAATAGCACTACTAGGCATCTACCCAAAAGAGCACAAAACATTCTACGATAAAGACATCTGCACCCGGATGTTTATGGCAGCACAATTCACTATTGCAAGAATGTGGAAACAACCCAAGTGCCCATCAATCCATGAGTGGATTATTAAAACTTGGTATATGTTTACAATGGAATATTACTCAATCATAAGAAACGACAGTGATCTAGAACCTCTTATACTTTCCTGGATTAAACTTAAGCCCATTATCCAAAGTGAGGCACCACAAGAGCAGAAGAACGGGCTCCACTTGTACTCGCCATCAAATTGGTACTAACCGATCAACACTAGGGTGATCACATGGCAGAAATACTCTCCAGGGATTAGGGGGATGCGGCGGGGTAAACCGCAGCTAAAGGACACAGGGAGCACTGTAGGGGGGCAGGGCATGCCTTTTACCCACACTTGGGTGAGGCAAAGACATAAAAGTGTAACCATAATGTTTGTACCCTCACAATACCCTGAAATTAAAAGAAAAAATTAAAAGAATATGGTATAATATAAAAATGATACACTTGTGTAGGGCACTTACCATGAATGGAGCTTATAAGACTGGAAGTTGCTCTGGGTGAGTCAGTGGGTGGTGAGTGAACGTGAGAGCCGAGGACATCGCTGTACGCTACTGTGGACTTTACACAGCATACCTTACGCTACACTAAAGTGACTTAAAGGGTTTTTCTTTCTTCAGTAATAAATTAACCTTGGTTTATTGTGACTTTTTGACTTTAAGATGCATGCCTACACCATGAAACCTCCATAAAAAGCCTTAAGCACCGGGCGCAGTGGCTCATGCCTGTAATCCCAGCACTCTGGGAGGCCGAGGCAGGCGGATTGTTTGAGCTCAGGAGTTTGAGACCAGCCTGAGCAAGAGCGAGACCCCGTCTCTACTAAAAAAAAAAAAAATAGAAAGAAATTATCTGGACAACTAAACATATGTAGAAAAAATTAGCTGGGCATGGTGGCGCATGCCTGTAATCCCAGCTACTCGGGAGGCTGA